ATTCCCCTAAATCAGCCTGACAAGGACTCTAGCCTTGTGGCTATTGTTTGTCTTATTTTGTTTTTGTACAGTGTCTCAGTATGTAGCTCAGCTAGTTTCAATCTTTCTCTCTCTCTCTCCTTCTTTTTCTTGTTCCCCACACAGACAGGTTTCTCTGTGTAATCCTAACTGTCCTAGAACCAGCTCTGCAGACAGGTTGGCCACTAACTCAGAGATTCACCTGCCTCTGTCTCCATAGTGCTGGGATTAAAGGCATGGACCACAATCGCCTGGTTTAGCCTCAGTCTCTTAGTGATCCTCCTGCCTTGGCCTTCCAAGTGCTAGGATTATGGATTTGATCGATGGTGCCCAAGTCTATCCATATTAAATCCTGCTTGGAGAGAGAGGTGGGGGAGGAGGGGGGTGGACTGGGGCTGATTGTAGAACTCCTGGGACCCCAGGGTTGGGGAAGAAGAGACAAAACAGCAGGCAGGAGGCAGAAGCATTCTGCTTCTTCATCAGGTTCACTCCAAGAAGCGGTGGGAAAGAAGGGGTGTCAAGTCAGAGTTATTTTGAGTTTGCAGAATAGGTTCTATTTTCACTGGCAAGGCGACAGGTGGAGTGACGGAAGAAGAAACAGACAAAGCTACTCGGAGATACTCAGGGATGCTGAGTTAGGACCCAGTGTTAGCATTGGGTGAAACAACTGGAACCTGAGGATGACTCCAAGACACCCAGAAGCAGCACAGACTACCTGCAGGGAAGCTCCTGCAGCAAGCACAGGAGCCCCAGAGCCAGGCAGCGGCTCTGCTGGCTCTCTCACCCACTGGTCTCCTGTCTGGGATTTTGTCTATTCATTCTGAACTTAGACTCTTGCTGAGTTGCAAACACAAGCTTGCAGGGACAATGCTGAGGATGTGGAGCATTCTCAGCTCCCATTGACTGAGTGACTGCCCCACTGCCCTGAAGGGACTTTTGTGAATCAAGTTCAGAAGTCGAGAATCTCTGAGGTGCTGTTGAAAATGGACCTACTGGTCCAGACTCTGACGTGTTTTGATTTGCAACTCCAAAACTCCTGCTCAGCAATTCTAAGGTGCACTCCAGCTGAGGATCCCTCGGATAGGATTGTAGAAAAGATAACAGAAGCCACTAGGTCTGGAGGGAGCTGGGGAGATTCCATCATAAGAGGGTAAAGCTATTTGACCTCCTTCCTTCCAACAGGAGTCACGGTGTGGATACACACTCCATCCAGCCTAAGTGCTCAGTGGTAGAGCACCTGCCTAGAGATAGAGCGCAGGTTCCATTTCCAGTAATTGGACAAATGAATGGATGGACGGACAGACAGACAGATGGATGGAGCAGGAAGTATGTTGGATATTGGGAGCTGGGTGGTGGTACTCATCTAATTCCCTAACTGGAGTGGGTATCTGGGCAGCTTCTTCCGGAGGAGCTAGAACTGTTGAGTCGTACCATACAGCACTACCGTTTCATGAATTTCGAGCCAGCATTCTTCCTGTCGGTGCTACCGCAAGAGGCCCACAAGATGGCATATCTGGCCCTCAAGAAGCCTGATAGAATAAACATTTTACAATGCAGTGATGTGAACAACCACCAGAAAACCACATGAATCACAGGTGAAGAGGAGGTTCGTACACACCTGAAGTGAGTTCTCTGAATAAATAAGCTGAAAAAAAAATCAGTAAATGAAAAGGTATAATGAGAGCCACACAACTGAAGGGAATTGTGTTAAATGGCTGATTGTAATGAGATGTACATAAATTGTAAGGCTTGTAATGAAACAAAAAAAAATCATATTCTTGCCTGGTAATACTGGGTGTAATGTCTACACCTGAAATAAGTCATCTCGGTGTGCTAAGTGTAATGAGATGCACATAATCTTAAAGAGTTTAATGAGATGAAAATAAATCAAACACTTGTCTTAAAATGAACGATGTATGAAGATGCACACACCTGAAGGGCATTGTCCTAAATGGGTTCAGTTTAATGAGATGCATTTAATTTGCGAAGGGGCTAAATGAGATCGGCCCAGAGAGAGGCTGAGAAATATAAAAGTAGAAGACATGCTTGGAAGTGGTGTAGTATAACCTGCCTTATTTGCGGGCTAGAAGTAAGATATCAAGAAGCACACAGCATGATGCAGTCAGCACTATCTGCTGGCCTTGGTTCTTATCCCCTGGCCTGTGATGCCCTGCAAATCTGAATTAACTTGACCCCAGGTTGATGCTGTACGTAGTAAGCACCTATGAAAGCTTAGGGAATGGATAAATGGCTTTGAAGTTGGAGTCTGTATGGAAAAAAGGAAAGAAGAGAACTATGTAGAAGGAACTTGAAAGAGGGAGGAGCCAGAGACTCCTGTTCTCTTTTCCTTTCCCTTCCCGTCTCGCTTTTCTCTTGTTCTTCTTAGGGAGAGTCTCTTTATGTAGCCCAAACCGGTCTCAAACTCTTCCATCCTCCTGCCTTTATCTCTTAGATGCTTGGATTACAGGCACATATGCCTACCTATGTTTTTAAAAAAAAATATATTGTATTTGTGGGGGGCACACATGCAATAGCATGTATGTGGAGGTCAGAGAACCACTTGAAAGTCTCAATTCTCACTTTCTTCCATGTGAGCCCCAGGATCGAACTTACACAGTCAGGCTTGGTGGCAAGTTCCTTTATGCACTGAGCTGAAAGGGCCCCTGAAGTCTATTGTCTCTGAGCAATGTTCCTGAGGTAGTGTTGTCCCCTCAAAGCTCATGATTACCTCTCAAGGCCAGGCAGGCAGGTGGGACACATAAACAAAGGTATCTGGGTGTGAGATAGGTACAGAGCACAAGAAACGACGGGACTATCTGTGTTTCCACAGATAGATTTTCTCCAGTATTTTGTTTCCAAGGCAGAGTCCTTTTGGACGATCTTGCTTTCCCTTGCTTGATGGAGAAACGGGTTTAGAGAAAAACTTCCCTAGTTACAAACACCCGTCATAAACTCGTCAACTCTGCGCAGTGATGCACAGCTGTAATCCCAGAACTCCTATCGAGTTTATGATAGGAGAATGAAGGACTCAAGGTTGCCTACACTGCTCAGTGAGTTTGGGGCCAGCCTGTGCTACACAGAAAGACCCTCCCCGCAATAAAACAAATCATATTGGGCCTGGAAGGATAGGCTTGTGATTCCAGCTACTTGGAAGGATGAGGCAAAAGGATCACAAATTCAAGGCCTATATGCGCTATAGAGCAAGTTCAAAATCATCCTGGACACCTTAGTGAGACTAAGAACAACAAAAATTAAACACACACACACACACACACACACTCAGAGAATTGGGATGTAGCTCAATGGTAGGACATTTACCAAGCATTTTCAAGGCCCTAGGTTCAATCCTCAATACTACCAAATCAAACCAAACCAAACTGAACCACCCAAAACAAAACACTTGAACCCACTGAGATATTAGAAAAGAAAAGGAAAAATACATAATTAACTACATAAGGACGGTTGTAGCATGACCTCAGCTGACCTCGCCTCAGTGTTGGGCTACCCCAGGAGTAGGGGGAATGTCAGGAGTTAGAGAGTGAATCTCGGGGTAGCAGTTCTTCAGATGCCCCATGGTCATGAGGATGTAGATCCTAAATTGCCTGACTGCCTGACTTTCAAGAGAGACCAGGAATCTCATTTGTTTCAATGTAGAGTCTTCCAACTTCTAAATGTTGGTGTGAAAATCTTAAAAAAGCAACCGCTCAGAGCAAAACACGTCTGTAAACAGGATGTTATCGCAAAGTCCCACTTGACCCCAGCAGCTCTTGCTGGCAACCCTGAGCAATAAAGTTAGAAAGATCAGTGTCCCAGAGTATTAGACTGTGGCTCTACCCCAGTCTTTTAGAATGTGAACTCCCAGAAAGGGCTCCATGACCATGGCTGCTGTATCCTTGGTGTGTGGAACAGAGCCCAGGACAGTGGCAGTTTAACAACCGTGTACTGAACAACAGTGAGCTCCTTGGGATTAAGACCGAGCCAGTTGCAGGCTGCCATTCACTGCCATCCTCTGGCCTAGGTAAGTCAGTTAGAGGGGTTTCTGGGTCAAGAATGTTTAAGTCTCCAGCAGGACTTGCAAGCCTGAAAGGGCCTTTCTGATGGACTGGCAGTGAGGGACAGAAGCTAGACTGACCACTTTCTTGGGCCCTACTATCAGAGTTTCATTTTAGACTAAGGAAATCCACCTACCCCTACCCCCGGTACCCCTCCCTGTCATTACCACAAAGGACATCTCTTTGGGTTGGGTAGCATCTGAATCATGCAGACAATGGCTTGCTGCCTCCTGAGAACACAACCACCCACACCGCAAACCCGCTTCCAGTTGTCAGCAGGGGTGAGAAGACGGCACCTCAGGATGGAAAACCTTGAGCGGAAAACCACATTGGTCTAATTTCTTCGGGACATATTTTCTGCTGAGTGTTTTGCAGAATCCTTAATACGTATGCCTTGGAAGAAGCAGAGACAGATCAAGTGAATCTAAGGAACAGCTAAACAGTTAAATAGGCTTCTTTTCCTGCAGGACTTTTTGGAGCCCTGACTATAATGTGTATTGCACAAAATATAAGACATATTTAGCTAAGGACATTGGGTTAATTTGGCTGGTATTTATTTTAGCTAAGAGTGTTCGACTAATTTGGTCATGAAATTTTTTTCATATATATATATATATGATATAAATGATTTCTTATTTTATTTGTATATGTGAGTGCCCACATGTGTGTTATGTACACAGTGTGCCTGCCTGGTCCCTGCAGAAGTCAGAGAAAGGTATCCTGACTGGCAGGTATCCTTACAGGCAGTTGTGAGCTGTCTGAGGAGGGTGCTGGGAACTGAATGTGTGTCCTCCCTACAAGAGCAGCAAGTGTTAGTAACTGTTGAGCCTTCTTTCCAGTTCCTTTGAATGTGTATGTGTGTGTGTATTCATTCATTGAAACCTCTTCTTGAAATGACAGTGAAGTCTACCCCAATTCTCTCTTTTTATTTATGTTTTATTTTTTGAGGCAAGTCTCCCGTATTCCAAGCTGTCCGCTAACTGATTATGTAGCCGAGGATGGCCTTGAACTTTGGGTTCCCCTGCCTCCATCTCTGGAGGGTTAGGACAATTTATAATCTACCACACCTGGCTCTCCGTCTTTCCAGTTTGGGGAGGTGGTGTTGTAATGGATTAGTTATCTTTTTGTGAATCTTCCGACTTTTCTGACCCCTTCTGCATCCTTGGCCTGGCTTCAGGGAATGCAGAGATGAGTCTAGGGCAGACCCTGCCATGGACATAGTACGAGGGTTAAAGCTGCTGCTCGGGCTGCATCTCTTTCCACGTTCCAGGACTTCCCACCTTTGATCAAAGTAAGGTGGACGTATGAGAGTGATGTGTGGACCATGGCTACACCGACTTGGTAGCAACAGTGGGGAAATACAAAAGTCTACATGGGAAGAGAGCTACGGTCAGGTCTCCACTGCAGTGCGGAGAACTGTCAGGAGAGGGCAGTGCAGAGCTTCCTCTGTCCTCTCCATGCTCTGACTTAAAGAGCGTCAAGCTGGACCATCTTCCTCTCCAGACAGCTACCAGAGGTCACCCTGAAAGCCCCCTACTTTGTCCCTTTCTGAGGGAGGTCAGTCCAACGGGGTGGATTCTGGGGCTCCAGATGCTGTCTGGCCCAGGGTCCCACTGAAGGCATAAAGGACCTCCAAGAAAAGAGAGAACTGTGCACCAGCATTTCGGTAGGTGATAAGATTTACTGAAAACTTCGCGGCCACATTCAGTACTGGTTTGGTGGATACATTGGAAGGAGGTTGCATAACATTAGGCAGGTGGAAGGGGCTGGGAGGAAGATGTAGGCATGTGTATCCATGTGCACACATGTGCACATGTCCGTGCTGATTAGGGTGCTTGTCACGGTGCTGAGTAGAGGAAGTTATGCGTGAATGTATGTATTGTAACAAGAAAAATGAACCAGAAGAGGAAACACGTTTTATCCACTGCGTGTTGCAAAAGTCTCACGCCAAAAAAAGCTTGCCTTTCCTCTAGGTATGGCATCAAAAGGGAGTAAAAAAATGATTGGATCACCCAGATTATAAATAAGGTTATTTGTTTCTCAAAAATCCCTAGTAAAACATTAAATATCAGCTCTTTTGGGGGAGAAATACATTCATTTCCGGGAGACCTCAGAAAAGTGACTATCCTTTTGCTCCGCCCAACCAGGTAGAAGAGGGGAGGCCCGGAAGGTCCCAAGGGTCTCCTCAGGTTGAGCCCGATAGCCACTCATGTCCTAGCACTGAAGGAGATGGCTAATGCACACTCACAAATGAAACTGCACGTCCATCACATTAAACCCAATGGAAAACACACACGTGATCAGTCCTGCCATTCATAGCCATAGAATAGGAGGGGACAGGAGGAGTGGGTGCCAATCGTGGGCCCTCCGAGTTGGGCTTGGAGGGCGTGTGTGAGGGCGGATGGTGGGTAGCCTCCTCCCAGGAGCCCCCAGTTCCTTCAGAGCCGAGCCCAATAGTGTGTGCAGATCAGTTTGTCCACCATCCTCCTGCCATGTTGGTACTAAGGGCAAGAGCAGCAGCACCTCTTCAGCCCCCGGCTTCCCATAGGGATAAAGCTTCTTTCCGATGTGTCTTCTGCCTTCTCTGGAGGATGGAATGGAGAAGGAGGCTAGAGGCTGGCGGTACCAGCCTGGGAGCAGAGGGATACCATGGGGACCTGTGGAGGGTCACAGAGGGGCTGGGCTATCTGAAGAACTCCATCTGAGGAGAGGAGTATCTAGGGTAAAACGTCAAGGTCCTATCGTTACAGGAGATGTGATGTGATCGCCTCGGGACAGATGTGGTCCCCAAAGTCATCTTAGTATGGCTCCCGATCTAGGTTCTGCCGCCTGCTTGGTCCTAGAGCTGACCCAGATGGAAAGCTGCTCTTAAGCTCTTCCAGTTGGACCCACTGACAATGCATTTCCAAGAGAAAGGAGTCTCTTTGGGCTTCCATCCCCCTCTCCTAAGTCCATGGCTGCTGTGCTAAGAGACAGGGTCCTAGTGGGGCAGGCTGGAGCCCTGTGCAGTCTGCGTCCCACTCAGACCTGTAGGATACGGTGTTGACTCAGGCCCTCCTCCTCTGGCCACCACCAGTTATGCATATGGACCATCCTTGAGTATCTTTCAAGGGAGCTCAGATTCTCCTGGGGGGAAATGTTAGACCCCCCCCTCACCCTTCCCTCCAAGTCTGCCCCTTGGCAAATGTCCACTCTGCAAACAGCACCTGTCCACCTCACAGGGCAGGGCTTGTAAACAACCCAAGTCCTTTTCCGTGTGGAGCCATGGGTGCCACCCTTCTTCGGGTATTTGGTGAGTCCAGATCTCACTCTGCCTTCCTGCACAGGCTGACTGGCCCCGGCAATGGAGTGCCCTGCAGTCCGAGGGTCTGGAAGTAGGTGTTCATGGAAGCGTGGTGGTCGGGAAGAAGGAGCAGGGTGTTGCCTCTGCATTTCTTCAAGCTATGATTCGGGGAAGCTAGGGCCCAACTTTCTTGGTGCTGCCTGCCCATATCCCCTCCCTCCCACCCTGAACCCTCCTGATGACACTCCTTTCCTGCTCAGTGACCAGTGCCACCTGGGCTGCCTGACTACTCCAGGGAGTCACTGTGTTCCAAGCCCAGGTCGCTGACATTCGTTGTCTGCAGCTCATCTGCCTCCTCCTCCAACTCCTCCTCCTCCTCTTCTTCCTCTTCCATATCATCTTCATCCTCTTCTTCGGTTCCATCCAATGAGTCGTCGTGCGCAGCCATCATGGCCTGCTGCATGGCCATGGTGGCGTTATCGGAGGACAGGGACTGCAGGTTGTCCAAGTTGATGGAACCTACACGGGAGAGGACAAAGGTTAGGGTACACGAGGACTGTTGGTCGAGTCCAGCAACTTTAGTGATGGGCAGGGTGGATGGGCTGGCTTGTGGGATGGTTTGTAAGAGAACCAAACACTGAGTGAGACAGTTCACAGGCATGGAGATGCCCACCATTCTTTGGCTTCTCTTGCACCACCCCAGGCAATACCCCAGGCTAATACATACATTCTCTATGTAAGTATAGGGAGCACTTTGAGTTTTATTTATATATTTTAGTTCCTAACTACTCTGAAGCAGGATCCTGCATCCTAACTCAGATGAGGAGGAAACTAAGTCTCAGATAGCTAAGTCATGGATTCAAGGAACTGTGTCAGTACTGACCGAGCTGGGATTTTCTGAAAACTTGCCCAGCACCACCTCTATTTATTCCTCTTCTACCTTGACAGATGGTCCCCCACCGCACAGAAACCGGGGTACAGCCATATGCATGAAGCTATGCATGCACATGGTTGTCTCCTTCCTACTGCCCACACAGTGGCCTTCACGTGCCAACCTCAGAGTTGTCTCACTGATTAAATTATTCATTGTTCACCAGAAAACCAACAATTTGAAGAGCGTGTATGAAGGGTGTGATGGAGAATCTGGAAGAACAAAGCTTCTCTTGGCCTCTGTTCACAAGCCAGATGCCCGCCTTGGTATTTATAGATGCCTTGGCCTTGGAGAGCTAAGCCGATACTGACTGCACTGAGCAACCAAGGAATGTGAGGAGTGAGGAGGGGGTTCTGATGAGCAGTCACTGGTGCTAAGGACCGTCATCTTCCACTCCTTTGTGAGCTTGCTTTACGTTTGTTCAAAATTTACACAAGGAGTTTTGGAGTTCTTTTGGCTCGTACTTGTAATAGTCATCCTAGCACTAAGAAGGCAGAGACAGGAGATCAGAAATGCAAGGATTTTCTTGACTACAAAGTATGTTTGAGAGCTGGGCGGTGGTGGCACACGCCTTTAATCCCAGCACTCGGGAGGCAGAGGTTGGCGGATCTCTGTGAGTTCGAGACCAGCCTGGTTCCAGGACAGGCTCCAAAACCACAGAGAAACCCTGTCTCGAAAGACCAAAAAAAAAAAAAAAAAAAAAAAAAGTATGTTTGAGGTCAGGCTACATGAGATTCTGTCTCAAACAAAACAAAAACACAAACATGCAGTAGCAAAAATCAAAAATGTGCACACAACATCCCTTCTTATAGTAAGATTTATAAAAAGCAGAGGCAAGCTTTTTATGTGAAGGCACAATGACAGGGACCCTGGTTGGGTGAGGAGACAGTCATTCCTTGAGTCTTTGCTTTCCAGGAGCCCCACCAGCCCCAACGTATGGCAAGTCCTGATCTTACCATCAGGGTTCGTCCCTGGGGTGCCACCCTGCTGCTGCAGGACGCCGGCAGCAATGGAATTGGGCCAGAATCTTTGGGTGGGCCGGTGCTGAGACTTGATTTTCTTGGCTTTGGGAGCAGGATCTGGGTTGCTGGCGTCAAGCATGGGCTGCAGGATGCGCCTCCGAGCATTGATGAACCTGCCCAGGGGGAATGGTGACGATCTGGTTAGTCGCCATCTGGGTCACATGGGTGTTTTCGGGGTGGGGAAGATGTGAAGGCTAAGCTGCCCAGTGGTGTCAGTGGTCAGATGTACCAGGCTTGGGGTACCAGCCCTCTGTGGCTGAGGAGTTTGTGAGTTACCTGGGGCTTGGTGACCACAGGCAGTGTGGGAAGAAGGCATGAGGAGTTGTCAAAATCCACCGGATTTGAACAGAGAAAGGAAGAGCTGTGGTCACAGTCACCAAATTCTGACTTGGACTTATGACAGTGACCCAGCTTTAGGGTCTAGTACCATCCATCCATCCATCCATCCATCCATCCATCATCCATCCATCCATCCATCCATCCATCCATCCATCCATCCATCCATCCATCCATCCATCCATCTGGCCTGGCCAGAACAGACAAGGACATTGCTATTCCTGTGGGCTCAGGAAGGCATCTCTCCCTTCTCCTTCCCACCTTACTTTGTAAAATGCTTTGGTTTCAGCACTTAAAGAGTTAGGTAGACCAGATAGCCATAGCTGGCAGTACCTTTGCTACCTGATGCAAGACCCTCTGGTTTGTCTGCGTTGGGCTAGTGAGCCCAGATTCTCTGGCAGTGTTGGTTTCTAGGGATGTGCTTGACCCAATCTCCCAGCAGAGGGCGCTGAGAAGCTGCTGTTGCAGCCCAGGACAGGCTGAGTCAGGTTCCCGTAACTAGCCCACATGGGAAGAGGATTGTCCTGGCTGTGGGACTGAGGCTGAGGTAGGTGTGGGCATTTTACCTGCTCTCCCTGATCCGCATTCCCTTGCCAAGTGTGTGCCCCTGGATCTGAGACCTGTGGGCAGGTGGTGCCAACTCACCAGTTGTTAACTTGCAGGAGGGTGAGGTTTGTCTGGGCCGCAATCTGCCTCTTCTCGTCTTCTGTGGGGTAGGGGTGCTGAAATGAAAGAAGGGCCAATGAGCTGTAGCCATGTGGGGGCCAGGTTGGCCCGGAGTTCATCAAGACATGGACACAACCCAGGGCTTGGGAGTCCAAACTGGGGAAAGACAATGCTTGTTCTTGAGGACGGTGGGCCTAGCGTGTACACAGAGACTCCCAAGTGCCTTAGACTTCCCAGCTCTTTCTCATAATGGAGACCAGGGTAGTTTTTAGAGTCCTTTCACTATTGATCGCAAGACACTTTCCTCTGCCTCTCACTTGATCCCTCCGGAAGGCGACTTTCTCCGAGCTAGGATCAACAATGGCCTCCAAAGTCGTGGAAGGCAGTAAGTGGGGGAGGGGGAGGGGGGGATGAATCAATGCAATCTAAGTTCATTGATATTTATATCTACTGCGTGTCAAGATTTACACAAGACATTTGGAAAGACAGGATAAATGTAACGGTACACTGTTGACACCCAACCTTTTAACCCTTTGGAATGTTCCCATACATGTAACCTCATTTCATCAAACCAACCGCGGGGCGGATCAGATGCAAAAAAACTGCCCCCTGTCACTCGGATGGAAGTACTGACTCAGTTCTGCAGACTGTGGCTCTGTATGCCCTTGTGGAGGGCTGAGTGGTACAGGTGTGCCCTGTGCATGCATGTTGCATGCTCCGGCCCAGCCTTGATTATGTGTTTACTCGCCCTCTTCAACCACGCTTCATGAGGGTATAATACACTCTTTGGAATGCATGCTTGTAGTCAACACACACACATGACCACTGACGGAGGAGGACAAAGGAAAATTGGAGATGCTGTGGTTTGGGTACTGAGTGCTATGGAAGCTTACAGGAAGGAAATATGAATCGGCCGGAAGCCTGGGAAGATGGCTAAGGGGAGTGGCATTAGAGAAAGGAAAAATCTGATTGGATGTGGTACCTCTTGCTTAGAGTCCCAACACTCCAAAGGAGAAAGCTGGGGGATCAGCCTCGTCTACAGGAGATGCTCAGGGGGGGAAAAATAATCCTAATAAAGACACAGAAACAAAAGAAAGGCAAAGCCGAGGGAAGTAGGTCTTGAGGCCAATGGGTGCTGAGGCCGAAAACAGAGTTAATGTGTTTCTAGGGCTTTCTGAGGCTTTGGCACACGTGTCTGACATCCAGTAGGCATCATGAGACTCAAAGGGACCAAAGATTCTCCTAGAAGCAGGGGAGACATGGCGGTCTCCAGGGTAGAGGGTCAAGTCATCCAGCATTCTCAGACCAGGATCACTCTTTCTGCTTATGTTGCCTAGAGAATAGAAATGCTGGGCCTTTTGAAAGTCCCAGAGATTGGGCCTCACAAGCCTGCTCTATTGTGACTTGCTGTGAGACCTCAGGCCTGGCACTTCACAAGACATTATTAAGTTATGTAATGATTAAGTACTTGTGCAGAGTTCATACTGCCAGGATGGGGTGGTGTGGGCAAGATGTTTAAAGCTCACAGAGGGAGGAACTGGAATGTCGCAGCCTTGGGCGTGCTGTCATTAGCCGTGAGGAAGGAAAGCAGCCTCTTCAGCTGGCCTCAGGATCATGTGTTGCTTTAATTCACACCTCTGACCCTGACCACCACACCAGGGCATCTGACCCTGTGACTCATACAATATTAAGAGTCTAACAAGAAGGAACACACGCCAACATTACCAGGGCCAATTTCATGCTAATTGGGAGGGAACAGAAGGAGGCTGGAAGGGAAGATATCAGGCCCTGGAGAAGTAGGGACTCTGGGACCCTGGTGACACTCCCTTCCTACTTTATAAGGTTCACAGGAAGGTGCCGAGCAGCCTCCCTGTCCATGGTTAGTAGATTTATGAACCAAGTCTTCCCTTGTTATCTATGAAGGGTTGGTTCTGAGACCCTCATAGACATCAACATCTGCAGATGTCCCAGTCTCGTTCCATAACATGGCACAGTATTTACATACAGTCCATACATCCTACACAGAGCTGGGCACTCAGCACTCTGGAAGCTCAGAGAAAGGGAAGCCATGGTGGACAGATTATCCTGGGTTCTGAGTTACTTAAAATACCTTAAAAGACAATCATATGGAAATAGTCATTATACCATATTAGTTAGGGAAATAATGTTAAGAAAAAGAATCTGTATGTGCTTAGTGTAGTTTTTTTTTTTCAAATATTTTCAGTCCACACTTTGTTCAATCTGCATTATATGGAACCTGCAGGTATGTGAGTTGACCACAAAAAAAAAATGACAGTCTTTCAGCCTCCACATTCTGCATTCCTGTTCTACAGCTGAGGCCTCTTCTCTCATCATCCCACTGCGGGCACTTCTGAATGTCACTGAAAATTTGTAACAGGTCAAATCCTCAGGGAGGCCTTTTCCAGTTCTCTGAGGCCTAGATAGTCACCAAGGCCTCTGAATAAGTGCATTGCCCTTATCATTCAGGGACATAAGTATCCTCCAGGAAGCCGTGGGCTGCTCTTGGGCAGGAACCCTGGATCATCAGATGTCACCTCCACAATGCTCCTACCAGTCATGGCAATCGTGTTCACGTTCAGTGATGCTGTACGAATATACAAGTCAGCAGACACAGGAAGGACATGTGGATCAGGTTGGTTCTTGAGCTGAGCTAAGTCACCAGCTTACACAGGCTGGATGTTGGCTGCTTCCAGAATTCTAGAAGTCAGAGACATCTGAAGTTGGGGGGTTCACAGTTGACGTGAAGGGCGTGTGTGTGGGTCCTCTATTGAAGGTAACCTGTACCAATGTCCCTTTGGATCATAGAACAGAGGTGGCTTGGTTTGGTTGGGAGGCTGTCTAGGGAAGTGGGGCCTCAACTTGGCTTTGAGGAATAGCTGAGCGAATCCAGTAGAGACAGGCCTTCCAAGGCAGGAACCTTATACCATGACTTAGCTATGAGCCAGTCAGCACCTTTTCTGCTTTCCCCTGTTAAGGCGCCTGAGAGGGAAGTCCCCAGCCTAGCAAGGAAGGATGGTGCTTTCTAGCTCTAAGGAGACTGCCGGTACTGAAGGGTTGGATACCTCAAACACAGATGGACAGACTTGTATCTAACAGCTCAAAGAATGAGTATTGCCCAAGACTTGCTGATTATTAGATATTAGATCCCTTACTACTCCCACTACCCAGTCCCACCACCTCTCCTTCTCAGAGCAGTACCTCAGGAGGCACGGGGTGGAGGCTGTGGCTAAGTAGAAACACTTAGCCCAGCTTTGGGAACAGGTGTGTGGGCCAGAACATTCCTGGCACCGCAGCTGAGGGCCAGAGGAGCAGCCCAGCTTGTACACGCCTCAGAGCACATGATTCCTGAGGACAGAATCAAAATAGTTCTGGCTCCCGGTCAGGCCACAATTGAGTCAGCGCTACTTTTAGCACAACTGGAAAGGCTGGAGGCCAAGGACAAGAGAGGGAGTGGAAGGAGATCTTAGGAGGTACGCACTGTGCCATGGGAGCCGCCCTGTGAGCACCAGCTGAAGGGAAGCCCCTGGAGGCGCTAAGGAAGGGCCCAAGCTGGAGCTGAAGCACCCTCCAAGTGCATGAGCCTTCCTTAGAAAAGGTATAGCACTGACTAGAAGATTGCAGATCCTTCTCAATATCAACCTGAAGACTTCCACAACTGGGCAAGGCTGCTTGATGGTGAAGAACCATTGAAGAGAGGGCAGAGTCTTGCCTCACCATCTGTGGACTGTTTGGCCTTGGCTGCTTGACCTGTGTCTTTCATTCTTAGCTTTCTCTGGTTATCATGGGAGTAGGAAAGGAACCCATTTACTGGACTTCAGAATGACGAAATGGGCTGGCAGAACAAGCGTGTGACTCTGACAGATGTATAGAGGCCTCCCAGACTTCTCCAGTTGAGCACTAAAAACTAGGGACTTAAAGTATGTGCATTAAATGGATGTTTTCTTGTTTGTTTGTTTGTTTTTGCTCCATTGCTGTCAGGAACTCCCTCTGCAACCTACCCTAAGAACTCCTCTGCAGCTCTTCCTGACTCCTCCCTTCAAACCTCCACAGCTCTTACCTCCTAGGGCTCAAAGGACACTGAAGTAAGTAGGTTTTAGTTTGAAGGATGAGCTCTGGTCAGAAGAAACTAGTCTAGTACTGATTTTTGCCATCTCTGACAACTTCTTTTGTTCAAACCCACCCTGGTATGATCCTTCCACCTTCTTAGCTCATGTGCATCTCACTGCAAGGTTGCCTGTGTCACATAGGGACCCATTACATGGGGAACATCAGCCAGTGGGTATCAGTGGAGCCCATGCTAGACTGGACCTTAGACTCAGCAGGGAGCTTGGGCTTCCCTTTCCCTCACCCTGCTCAGAGGCCTACCAAACCTTTCTCCACCCCACCCCAAGCCCCCAACCTCAACAACCATATGGCAGGGGCTTGCTTTGGGGCCTTCATTCTGTGGGCATGGCACTGGTTAGGAGGGCCTGTGACCCAAAGGGAGGCAGCCAATAGGGCCAGAGTTTTGAAATGACCGTGTGGCATCATATCTAACATGCCACTGGTGACAGATGCTCCCTGATTTCAGAGATGGCAGATTGGACAAAGCAAGCAAGAAAGCAAGCCAGCGAGTGACCGAGCAAGCAAGCAAGCAAACAGCCAGCCAGCCAGGCAGGCAGGCAGACAGGCAGACAGACAGGCAGACAGGCAGACAGACAGACAGGCAGATAGACAGACAGGCAGGCAGGCAGGCAGACAGACAGGTAGGCAGGCAGGCAGACAGGTAGGCAGGCAGGCAGATAGGCAGACAGACAGGCAGGCAGGGAGGGAGGGAGGGAGGGAGGGAGGAAGGGAGGAAGGGAGGGATGGAGGGAGGCAGGCAGGCAGACAGGCAGGGAGGGAGGGAGGCAGGCAGGCAGGCAGGGAGGGAGGGAGGCAGGCAGGCCTAGCATGACTGGGCAAGCAGAGTTAGTGATGAACTTCTTCCTTCCACACTTGCCTCTGTTTAGAACGCCCATTCTTATTTTTGCTCCTCCCCACTTAAAGACACAAA